ATAAAGCCATGAAAGTTAGCAGTACTGCAGTGGAAAAATGGAGTCACAGGGCCCATCTACACGTGCAATTAGTGCACATGAATAAACGTTGGTGCTGATTGCTCCAGATTTTTTTTGCTGCTGGGCGCACCATTTGAACATGCGGTCTGGAGCGATTAACTCTGGAGGAATCAGCTCCAGAGTTTATTCATGTGCAGCACATGGAGCCCAGTTGGAGCAGCCCCAGCTGGCAGGGAACTCTGGGAGTCAGCCTGGGGCTGCTCCGACTGGACTCAGTGTGCTGTGGAGGGGCTGGCTGGGGCACGAAGGTGCTTCAGCATGGAGCTAGTTAGCAGGCAGCCCCCACACTGAAACACCATTGTGCCCCAGCCAGCTGGGGCAGCATCTACACATGCACTGCTGCTCATGAAAAAACTCCACAGCAGGGTATTCTGCATTTGGGGTAATGACTTTGCATTCTGCCCTGTAATCTGTATTTACAAGTACTACCCTGCTGTAGAGTTTATTAGTTTTGTGCACCCTAATAGGGATGCACGCGTAGATGCTGAGATGTTTACTGTGCAATTAATTGTCAACTGCACAGTAAACGTCTCGTGTAGATGTACCCACACAGTGCCATCCTGTCCAGTCCTATGCCTCGTATTACCCTTTATCCCCTTGGCAAAGCAAAGCAGGCAGAGAATTCTGGATTGGGAACATTTTATACTTGCATTGCAGAGCAGTACCTCACCATGTGAGGGTCAGACAGGGTTGGCGTAGGCCCATGGGGGAAAGCATTTGCAAAGCGCCACATAATAAAGGAAGGGAGCCTGTTCTTTCAGCTCAACTGTAACATCCCAGGCCCCACCCTAGCAATAACCCTGCTGGCCTGTTGTGCAGAGACCTTCCAGCTGTCCTGATAGCCTGTTGTGAAATGGAGCAAGGGGGAAAACTGTGAAGTGAGGGCTCCTGCGCCTAATTGTGTTTGGCTGTGAGAATAACAATAGGAAAGTTCTGATTGTCTAAAAAGATGTTGACAGAGACCTCTGGCCAGGGGCAGGAGATGGGGGAGCCATTCAGGCCCACAGATACTCTTGATGATTTGGCAAACAAAGAAAGGATGGAAACTTTCCAGTGTAAATGGTGAAAGTGAGGTAATGCCCTCAGCAGACTGGAGAGGAGAGGGCAAGGGAAACAGCCCTGGGCCCCCGCCAGGCTCCTACAGCCCTGTGCTGCAGACAGTGCACAGGTTATGGGGACTACGAGGGGGAGAATTTGTCCTCCACATCCTGGCTCTGTGGCATCTGAAAGCAGCAGAATCATTGTCATTCAGAGATCACACCGCTGGTCTCAAACTCTTCAGGGCCCCATACTCAGATGGTCGCTGGAGAAAGCCATCTTGGACTATGGCTGGGGCCTCCTGGCTGAGGACCTCCCAAGAACTCGGCTCTTCTATCTCCTGTTGGCTCCCTTGCTAGTCCTGAGCATCGCAACACACTGAGATGCCTGCAGCATCTGGAGCATCCCACCTTCCTTGGCTGAGCCACGGGGTATTTCTAGCTCCACTTTTGTGCCTTTGTTGAACTTAGTGGACAACAAAGATGTTTGAAATGATCCCTCAATTAGCTGATTTAGCAATTGAAAACAGGATGCTCCACGTTTATTTTTTACCCTGATTTGGGGATGAACTGAGGCCCCAGCTGAGCTGTTTCTGCAGTCCCAGGGTAAAAGGTCAGGGTGTGGGGAGGACCAGTGCTTTTGGGGTAGGATTGGGCACCAGGACTCCTGGGGTCTTCTGAATAACCTTCAGTGAATCCCTCCCAGTTCTGTGCCGAAGAGGGGAGTAGAGAAGGGGGGGAGGCAATGAAGCCATTTGTTTCTTTTTTCATGTTGCCAGGATACTTCCCCTCAGTCTGGGAAGCTCTGGGGGAGGCTGTGAGATTTCATGTCCTTAGGCATATTCTGGAACAAGAATATTTGTTATGAAGGCTATAAATTCCTCCGTCTTTCCCACCTCCTTGGCCTCTTGCTGCCTGTTATAAAGATTACAGAGAGATTTTTGCTCATGGGCAGGGTGATAGCATTTCTTGCAGGGCACGAGGTGAGGGGATGTTGGGTTTGGCCTCCCCAGAGGAAAGTCACTGCGGCACCAGCTCAGCGCAACCCCCTTTCCAAGAAAAAAACCGAGGCACCAAGAGGGGAAGGGAACTCATGGAAGTCACATAGGGAGCTAGGGGTACAGATCCGGGAATAAGGAGCTCAGGTCCTGATCAAACACTATTCCCTGCTCCCTTTCCTAGAGCCATGAACAGAAGGCAAGAGCATGCCCCTTACAAATCAACTATAATTTCTTGGGAACGGAGTTTTGCTCTCAATGACAGGGCATTTACTCTTACTGAGCTTTGTGCTCTTGGGATGCCCCTCACTGTGCACCAGGGGGCACTCGTTATCCCTCTCTGTTTCCGCAGAACTGGGAACAAGCCCTTCCAAGACAGAGGTCTCTGCCTGGTTTTCAGTGCTGGGAGCTTTTTAAAGTTAAGGGTAGATCATTTCTGCCTGGCAGATAAAGGGAAATCCACAGGGTGGGCATCTGGATCTGTGTTGTTAGAACAGGGCTAACCATAAGCTTTCAAGGTTCTTTGGGTAGATATGCTATCTTTTATTAGACCAACTGAGTAGCTGGGGAAAAGTGCACTCATCTAGTGCACCAAACGCCCTGATGGAAAATATGTAGGAGAAACCAAGCAGCAACTGTGCACCAGAATGAACGCACACCGACAATCTATCAAAGACAAGAATACCCAACTACCTGTGGGTGCACACTTCTCACAGGACAATCACTCCCTCTCCGACCTCTCACTTCTAATCCTCAAAGGGAACTTACAAAACACTTTTCATAGAGGAGCCTACAAACTTCACTTAATAAATCTACTGGATACAAAAAATCAAGGACTCAATATAGACATTGGATTCATGACACATTATAACCTGCCTGACATCTGAATCACCAGGTACCTGCCAGACCTGACCTTTCACACTTTTCTTTCCCCTCCCTACCTCCTTTCCTTCCCTCTTTTTCTACCCTTTGTATTCCTAATTTCGAGCTATTTACTTTTTCACAGACAGCCTTTTTTCTGTCTTGGAAAACTACTACAGTAGAGTCTCCCTTACTTACCTTTGCCCCCCCCCCCTTTTCCCCCTCCTTTCCCTTCTCTGCCTTTTGTTTTCCTAATTGCCACCTATTTACATTCTCACTTTTAGCTTCTTTCATGTCTTGGAGTCTCAGAACAGCAGAGACTGTCTATTCCTGAAGAAGGGTGATTGTGCTCAAAAGCTTGCAAAGAACTTTTTCCCAACTACTTGGTCTAATAAAAGATCACATCTACCCAAAGAACCTTGCAACATGGCTACACCAAAAACCCAGAAACATAAGCTTTGGGATTTAAGATCCAGTCTATCCTCAGTCTACCTGGACCTGGCAAGAGGCCCATACATGGGAATTTCCCATGCTGTAAGCGGAGACTAAGCCCCTAGGGGAAAGCCAGCAGGTGCCCTTGACAGGATCACAGATGATTTCTGAGGACCCAAATCCCTGCAGTCCTGAGGGGGTTAAGGAACTGGCTGAAGATGATGACTCATTGTGCATAGACATTGGGAACTCCAAGAGATGACTCAAGTGAATACCTCCCCTTGCAAGTGGAGCTCTGTGCCTCTTCCTATAGAGGGCCTAGGGTTTGCATCTTCCAGTGTCATGCTAGGGTCTGCACAGACACCAGCCTAAGCCTCATGAGGCAGTGATGCTACTTCGCTGCTTGGGAGGTCATTTCCCAGTCATACAAGAGGACTGGGGGTGTCTGACCAGTGCTGGGAGATCTGTGTCCCACCATGGGGAAGGGCTGAGATGGGGCAATGAGGCACTCCCTGTGCACTCAGGGCTGTCAGTTCCATTTCACCTCCTTCCCAGCCCCTCTTACTTTGTAGGGCAGGTTGGAAGCCCAGGCAGCTGGAGCTGTAAGAACAGAGAGGCCAGCTGTGCTTCTCTGCAGACACCATGCCCCTGATGCTGCCTGGGTTTGTTTGCAATGTGATTTGTTAAACTCTGCTTTCTGGGCCAAGCTGCCTTTGCTGCCTGCACTTCAGAGATTAGATGCTGGCTTTGAGTGAAAGCAAGTCTTGATCATGGAAATGCATGTTGAGTCTTTTGCAAATAAGTACCTGGACAAACCCAGGTGCAGATAACTTTAGTATATAGAAATATGCAAAGCCCGTTTGTATCCAGGCTGCTGCTCTGGGGAGATCCTGAAACATGGACTACAGTGGATGCCACCAGGCTCAGGAAGTATTCAAAGGGACGCTATGCATTATGTGCTACTGTTTGCAGACATATGCAAACCCCTGCATTCTTCTCTGAGGCTGGTGTAAATGGAGAGTGTCTCTCTTGGAGTCAGCGGAGCTAGATGTGGATGAGAAGGTGGAGACTGCATCTTTGGTCATGGGATAGAAACAAATCTCATAGCTGAACTGTCCTTGTAGCACTATGAACAAACTAGGATATTAGAGTCTGATGCAGATGCCTGGCACTGCTGCCAACAGCTCTGGGGATGGGGACAGAGGAGGGAAGGAGGATTGGGAAGAGGGCCATGGGCAAAGCCCCAGTTCCAGTGTCTTCAGGTCTCTTCTGTGGCTAAAGCACTGATGGGTTTCTAACCTAGCCCTGTGTGGCAGAGCAGATATAACTGTGCTTAAATTTAGCAATGAGCTGTTTTGCAGGAGATCTGAGTCCTCATAGGAGTCATTTACGAGGTATTTTGAAGAGAGGGATGAACCCAGGCCTGATAGCAGCTGCCAAAGGCTGAGTTTGGTCCCCGGGGTCAGATTATTCATAAACCTCAACCCCCATTATTTCTCTGTTCCAGTAAGGGTGAGTGGCTGGGTAGCAGCTTCAGGAGCTGCTCAGACTGAGGGTAGGAGCAGCTGGGTGCCACATGGGTTTCTCACAGATTCCATTTTGTGTCTTGCAGGATGAAGTGAAGCTCCCATCCAAGGTGAGCATCAGCAAGTCTTTGAAGGAGACTGAGAAGCAAGAGAAGGAAGGCGAGGTCGAAGAGGAGCCCCTGGGTGAGGACCACGCTGATGAGGAGCACATCCAGCTCTCCTCAGATGAGGAGGTGGAGATTGAGGAAATCATTGAGGAATCTCGGGCAGAGCGCATCAAGAGAAGCGGCATGAAGAGGGTGGACAACTTCAAGAAAGCTTTCTCCAAGGAGAAGATGGAGAAGACAAAGATAAAGACCAAGGAAAACCTAGAGAAAACGAAGCATAACCTGGAGAAGACCCGGCACAACCTGGAGAAGAGCATGAACAAGCTAGGCACCAGGATTGTGACTAATGAGAGAAGGGAGAAGATGAAGACCTCTCGGGACAAACTGAAAAAGTCTTTCACCCCTGACCACACCATTTATGCCAGGTCCAAGACAGCTGTCTACAAGGTGCCACCTTTCACTTTCCATGTCAAGAAGATCAGAGAGGGTGCAGTGGAAGTGAAAGCCACAGAGATGGTGGAAGTGGGAGGGGAAGAGGCAGACACAGATCTGATGAGAGAGGAGAGCCCCGAGATGCACACGCTGCTGGAGATCACAGAGGAGTCAGACGCTGTGTTGGTGGACAAGAGCGACAGTGAGTGAAAAGGCAGAGGCACAGGAGAGTTTCTGAACGGACGGCTGAACACGTAACCTTTCACACTGCGAGATCTCCCTGGGGGAGCCCCAGGGACCATATACACAACGCATCCTTATTACTCTGGAAAGCCAAAGCCACTCCCCCACCACGGAGGACAAGGTGTCTTTTATATTTTAGTTTTAGCACATAGAGGAGGTAGGAACACAGGACTTTTTCTTTTTTATTACACCATTAAACCAACCCTTGGAGACCATTTCTACTTCAGGCTGTGTCAGAGTTTGCAAGCTGCCAGGCCCAAAGTGACAAGCATGCAGCCAAGCAGGACTGTGCTAAAACCAAGATAACTGTTGTACACCTAGGAAAGACTCTTTCACAGCAAGCTGAAAGACTTGGTGTCAAGAATGCTTCCTGCTCAGCAACCTGCCCAGTGCCAGAGACCATGGAGTCCACGCAGTTATTTCCCACCAAGGCAGAAGGAGGAGAGAACCCAGGATCAGAGCTGGTGGGCAACAGCCCCATCCCTCCCTAAGAGCTATCCCCCATGGCCATTCGGTCACAGATCTCTAGTGCCTGATGGATCTCTGTGGCAAGGGAAGAATTCAGCAAATTCTGCTGGCGGGCAGAGAACGTGTGAAGCTGCGCAGTGTCGCATGGTGCTGGGGTGGGGTCTTCCCCCACTGCTGTGACCCTGGAGGACTTGAGCAGTTCACGTACCAATATGAAGGTCGCTGTTGTTACATAGCACCCAGGTACTGTGGGAACTGTGGTGCCTGTGCCCATCCCAGTCTTGGCATCGTACACACCCAGGGCCTGCTGCTGCTACCAGCTACACTGATGCCATCCCACTGAGCTTTCTGGGATGGCACCAATGGAGTAGGAGGCTCAGCATAGGCTGTTACATTCCTGTGCCTACAGTGCCTGTGGTCCTGAAGGGGTTAAAAGTCTGCCTGCTGGAGGCACAGCAAGGGGAGACCCTCGAGGAATCCTGGCATGTACAGGGAGCTGAGTGGGGCTGAGGGTGCCCAGTCTTGGCTCCCTACACCTCATGGCAGCCGTGGCTTCAGCAGCCAGTGAGGGACGTGCTTACTGGCCAAGAGGGAGAGTGAAGGTGCAAGCAGGGGGGCTGGAGGGTCCAGCCCTAGAAGCTACTGACTTCTAGAAGGGCTAGCGGATGTGCTGATGCCATGGGAGGAAGACAGAGTGAGAAGGACTCATGGTCAGGCAGAGAGCGCTTTTGACACCAGTCTGTGGGGCCTGATCCTGAGCAGTGCTGAGCACCTGTCTTGCTTTTGGGAGTCTCAGCACAACTCAGGGTTAG